CTGCAACTCCTGTCTTGTATGCTAAAGTTAACACTGGAGAATTAATTCTTCGGCTAGGAATGGACAGCAAATCTGATCTAAGAATGCTGGAAACGGGTGAACCTATATATACGCCAATAATGCAGGTTCGTGGACAGGAGCAGATGTTGTGATACGAATTTGATACCTTCCACTTTAACTATTGATTGTTTATGACCATGAGCATATATATGCAGGAAGAACCTTTGCTAACGGAAGATCTAATTAAAGAAACAGAGGAGCTGGTGCTCCGAACTGGGAGGTAATGCCTTTAGTCTGTTTTGTTTTCAAGATCATGCTGCAAATGTCCATAAATGGAGACCAATCATTAATGGTAGCAGTTTAACACTTATTCTGCAAAAAACATTTACTTTACATATAACTTGCTTACACTAATATTTGCTCTCCACTAATCATCATTTTATCAACAAAAAAGAAAAGAAGCTGGCATTAATTATTGACGTTGTTCAAACTGTTCTCATTTGTCTTATTTTCTAGTTATTACAAATACATCAAGGAACTTACAGTTTTTTTTTTCTGTATTAAAGAATACAATCATCTGATTTCTTTTGTTCCTTGTTCTTCTCTTTGTTTCATACTTTTATGCTCACTGCTGCCCCTAATGCCTCAAATATTCCAACTTATACAAGTAGGATAATCTTGACCTTTTCATCTGAAATCCTCGTCTTTTCTGTTGTCAGTCTTGGAGCTGGGTGCTCTCAACTCCTATCTGACATGCAGGCTTTCAAGGTAAAGTTTCAGTAACAGAATCTGTAATTTAGAGTTTCGTGAAGTACCTTCACAAGCTGGCAATTTGGCAGTGTCTGACTGAAACTAACATGCAAATTTCCTGAACTCTACTAGGCAGCAAACCCTGGGTGTATATTAGAAGATTTCGTTAGATGGCATTCTCCTCCTGATTGGATGGAATGTGATACAATTGATGGAATTAATGAAACCCCTGATGCTAATGACTCATTGTCTGGAAGAGGCCAACTGAGTACTCGAATGCAGAAAGAAGGTTCTATTCTAGTTAACTCAAATTTCATGTCACTATTCTCACCTATTGTTCTTTGAAAATCACATTTCAATTGCTGAAACAAGGCTATATTTGGATTTGTTTGTGTTTGTATAAAGATGAAACTACCCCTCAAATTGAACTATACCACAAATTGGTTTGCTTTGTTCACTATTCACTGACAAAGTGTGCATACCTAGAACAACTGTTATTGGTTACATCAATGAAAGCAGTTCATTGTACTCTATTCTTTTTATCACAAAGTAGGCTTAAGACCTTACAATAGGCTATATATTAAAAACGGAAGCTGCTAAAATACTAGTGCCCTGGTTGTAAATACAGAAGGGACGATAGGTCATTTAACACACAAATCTACAGAACCTTCCAAAGTGGTAGCTTTTTCCACTTGTAGTACTCTGGTAACTCCAGTGGGTCTTTGTAGAAGAAAGATTCTTTTGAGAACGTGCAGCAGTGCTAGGTATGAGGAGGGGTTCTTGTCACTACTCATAATGCTAAGCGGGTAGTAGAAGAATATTTTAAACTAGTTGGGGGTAGTGATATTTGGGGTGGATGGAACAAAATACTAACTTAAACCAAGTTTGCACTGTCCTCTTAAAACTTCTTGCGGTTGCTTTATGATTGTTGATTATATGTTAAGTACGAACAATCTTTGAGCACATTTCAAGCAGAATAAGTGGAACAATTGTGCAAAACTTTATCTGACAATTTTACCTTTGTCAAAAAAAAAACTTTATCTGACAATTTCTGCGGATTGATGTTTTCAGGCAACTTGTGGCGCGAACTATGGGAAACCTCAAAGCCAGTGCCGGCTGTTAGACAAACTCCTCTCTTTGATGAGGATTTGGCAGTGTAAGTTTCTAAGCTCCAGGCTAGCTCAAAAGATTTAAAACAAAGTATTTTGATTTTCTGAAAGGAACTCTATGTGCCTTCTGTAGGGAAAGTATTCTGGATAATTTAGAAGATATATCTCCACATGAGCTTTTCAAGCAGCTGTTTATATCTCTTGTAAGTCCTCTTATGCATGTTTGAAATGTGTCTTGTCATAATTTTCATCTGTATCTTCTGTTACTCTCATTCCTCAAACTCCCATAAGGAAAGAATTCAGCCTGTCACTGGTAAAAGAAATCAAAAATGAATATTCACAGATGTATAAGCCTGTGGACTAGCAGAAACTCTCTTGTGGTAGTACTGCAGTTCCATGCTGAACAAGGTTTCTGTTATTGTTTCAAGGCTTGGTATCTTTTATCATGAACATAGATTTTGAATTTATATCAGCCTCTTACATGGAAATTTCATCTTATAAACTCAAATATACAGTTGAGAATTTGCCATTTTTATGCGTCTTTTTTTTTTCAAGAGGAAAAAGTTGATGAAATTTGTGCAAGACACGATTTTCTTTCCTATATTCAATCTATTTTTTGGTGGCCAGAACACTTATATAGTAATAAATTGCAGTTAAATTGGTGATGTCTAGGAATTCGTCATATCTCTCCCTCTCACGTTTCCATTAAATAGTAAATATAGCGTCATTCTGTCTTGGTTGGGAGTTGTGACATTTTTCTGCTTCCGCTTCCAATTTTTATTTTTATTTTTATAAAATCACCCACTAAGCTTAGGTGAGCTTTATTCAGCTTCCAAATCATAAAGACTATAACGTATGACTTTTGGTATTGAAATTTCAGTTGGGATCAGGGTTTATAACTGCTGAGGCCACCCTCTCAAACAATTCAAATTTAGTGAAGCTGTTCAGTGATTGTAAAGAATATGTCATTCTCACCTGTCAAAGAAGCAACTGGGTTGACAAAGTTGACGAATTGTGCCAGGTATGTTTTATCTAGCTTGGTGATGGTTAATAAGCTTGCTGACTCGTGGTGCTGGATACAAGCGCAAGTCTTGCGCCTGAGACATGTTTGTGCATTTGACTTCCTCTCACTTGTTTATAAAGAACTACTTGCTTTCAGCCCATAGGGCTTTAATTCTCTAGTAAGAGAACAACACATGTCGTGTAGGTTAGGTACATCATAAAAATACTGAAGTTGAAGCGGTGAATTTTACCAGCTCATTATCCACCGAGTTTTGAATTGTGTCCTTGGGGAATTTCTCAATTATAAATTTAAAGAAAAGAAGAAGAAAATATCTCAGGGATACAAGGTTCATACGGAATCCACCGAAACCTATTGATTCCTATATAGGACAGTTGCTAGGCAGCACCACTACTCCTATCCCATCAGAGTGGGTGGGTGGGGTGGGGTTGAGGGGTGAGACAGGGGTGGGGGGTAGGGATGGAGAAATGGAAGCAGCATTCTGGTGCTTGTTATACATTCTTTCTGCAATTTTATTAGCTTTATAGTGCTGGATGACGCTACATAAAATCATTGATTTGGACCCAAAATTTGCAAAAGTAGCATTTGTGAATGTCAGATTATTACTATAATTAAGTTGTTATGCCGTGATGAAGTTACAGTAGAACTTTTTACTAGGTCTACGAGACTGTTGAGACAATGGTACTCAGCCCAGATGAAGTTATAAGGATCACCTTTCAACCTGAAGAACCTTCAGCTGCACCCGCGAATGAACTAAAAAGTCGATTCAAAAGGCTTAGCCTCATATTCAGAAACAAGGATAAGCTATCACCGCGAGACCAGAAGAACCAGGAGGAGAGTCCATTACGCCAACCATTCTCATCCATATTTTCAAAGAAACCTCCAAAGCCCGACAGTTCATCTCCAGATAAACCTGTTACTTCCGTCGAAAATGACTGGACAATTGTATAATCACAGTTTTTTATTGTTGTTCATTGTGTAACTATAAATATATGTTACTAGTTTAGGCAGAGACCCGATGAATATTCCAGCATTGTGAGTTTCAGCTGATGCTTGTGACGAAACAGTTTATGGAAGAACCTTAGAGTATTTTATATGATGGAAATTATTTTTCATGAAAAACATTTTTCCTCAAAGATGCTTGCCTAAAGTTTAATACCAATAATTATAAAAATATAAATGGTAATTTCCAACGTAGTATTATTTTTGGTTGCAACGAAACCTAATTTGTATAGGATTAAGATTTGTTATCAAATTCTTATGCAAAAAGGTTTTCTAATTCCTCTATAAATACATATTTTCCTTCATTGTGGCTGCCTCCTTCCACTTTTTCTTGTCTGCAAATTGCAAAATTATGGGTCAGGAAAACTTAGAGAAACTAGAGGAAGCTAACAAATATGAACACAGAGAGCTAAACAAGAAGCAGGAGCTTTTCTATTATGATCCAATGAGCGCTGGAAGTTGCTTCTGGTGCTCGAATTTGCAACAAATTACTCGGATTCTTGAAGAATGAGTACTGGAAAAGAGGCTACGAGGAGATTTGGAGCCCAGATAGGGAAACTTCAGGCCATGCTACAAAGTACAAGTAAAACATGTTCGTGTTTGAGATTGATGATAAATCAGTAGATCAATTCGGGTTGAAGCCAATGAACTGCCCTGGACATTGTATTCAGTCACAGAGTTCGTTCCTTCAGAGAATTACCTCTCGTCTAGCTGATTTCGAAGCTCTTCACAGGAACGAAGCTATTGTTAACACGTCTCAGACAATTTCACCAGGACGATGCTCACATCTTCTGCAGAGAATCACAGATCAAGGACGAAGTAAAAGGCGGTCCTGGATTTCATCACTTATGTGTATACCATATTTGGTTTCACTTATGTTGACTTCACAAATTTGGAAGAAGGCTGAAGATGCTCTTGCTGAAGCACTGAATGAATTCGGAAAGCCATGGGAGATCAGCAAGGGAGACAGCTTTTTATGGTCCGAAAATCGATATCAGTGTGAAAAGAAACTTACAATGTGCAACATTGAAGCTTGATTTCCAGCTTCCTGAAAGATTCAACCTTTTATACGTATCAAATTCGAGAAACACCAGTTATGATACCTTGGATCAGTTGAACGAATGTTCCTATACTGCTCCAGCATTACAAAGGTAAATGGCCTTTCTGGCTTAGTCCCCGTCAAGCTATTGTCTTCCCTGTTTCAAACAAATCTCAAACGTACGCGTTTGAGATCTGGAAACGATTACATGATGCTAGCATCACCAAATCGATGTTGATGTCAGTGATAAAACGGTTGGAGAAAAAGGTACGTGAAACTCAACTCCTGTTTTGATTGTTACTTAAATTTCGTGTTACTCTGGTTCATTGTTGATATGAAAGCATTAAAATCTATCCATACAATATATTGTATTCATCTAAACATTACAAAAGAGACGTTCAACAAAACACATGAATTTGTGTTCTTCTAGCTAATTAATCTTTCATAGAATATCTTTTTCATCAGTTTTGTTATTGTTGTTGGTACTTTCATCTTGAAGATCCTTCATGATGAACTCTGGCACCACAAAATTTGCAATCCAGTAAATAAACAGCATTACTGCACTGTCAAAACAAGTTACCATGGTAAAGATCAGATAAGCAAACGCATAGAACAAATAAATTGACATAAAGGGAGTAGAAATTTATGTGCAAATATATATTATTAGTAATATATTATCGAATCTAACGAGTTAAACTAAAATTAAAAATAAAGTAAAGTACCAACCCAGTCTGCAGCAAAACTGACAAATCTCCAGAAGTAGCAGGTGAATTAACAGCCTTAAGTGGAGGAATTAACAGATTCCTTTTTCTCTTTACAAAACCAGTAGCTAAATTAGTATCATAATGTTGCTGCTCCAATAGACAAATTGGCTTTGATTTATGGTATTGGAATGTGAATTTGTTGGTTGAAAATTTTAGTAATATTGGAGAGTGAAGGTTAATAATGCACTTCATATTGGTGGAAAATTAAACTTTTTTTAAAATTAAAGTGGGTGTAAATTTAAACAAGGAATATATTTGATGATATAAGATAAGGTTTATAAGGAAAAGAGAGAAAGAGGAGAGAGAACAAAATTTATGGTGATGGATAGTGGGCTTTATTTTGGATCAAAACCTGTTTAGTTGGATCCATGAACACCATTGAGTGTGTCAAATGGCCCATTTAACCATGCAAATCTTGAGAATTTATATTATTCGATCCGAATTATATAAATTTAAAATTTAAATAATTTTGTTTCTGTTTTATAAATTCAAAGTTTGTATATGCTTGCCCTAGTAAATTTGTATAAAATTTTATGAAAATATTGTAATTTTATTACACAATATATTGGCAAGTGAAATAGATAAATGGGGTTCTGAAAAATTTCTAATGTATAAATATAAAAATTTATATATACTTATTTTATTTGCATATTTAGCTTGTACAAGCGGACAAATGAGTATATATAATTTTTTATAGCAAACAAAACTATAGCTATAGTGCGTTTTTATGCTTGTTATCTTTGCTATTTTTAAAATCTAAGTTAAACATATCAAAAAAAAATGTAAAAGAATTACTTTTTACTCTCCAAAACTTGATCAATAACATATACAATATAGTTTTACGAGTAAAATTTAAAAAAGCAATTTATACCCTAACCTTAATTCTATTTCAAAAGTAAAAATATTGCTTTTTGATAACTCATCGACTCAACAAAAATAAATTTAAATAATCAAAATAAGAAATAATAAAAGAACAAAGAATCTAAAAAAAGGAAAATATTATTAACCCAAAACAATCAAAATACTTTTTTGGCCCATAGTTCATTAAGCCAGGCGGTAGGTAGCACAGTGAGTCAGTAATGATGATTTATAAGCTACAGAGATAATTTTGATATAGTGTAGTTTTAGCTTATTATTGATCGAGGATAAAGTTATGAATAGAAATTGTAAAAAATACAAATTAAGGTAAAATTATTTATAACAGTAGTCGTAGCATTTTTTTACAGATTTTTTTATTTTAGTTTTTGTATACTATTTGTTATTTTTTATACTTTGATTATCGTTTTCTTTTGTATTGTAATTAATATTCAAAATAATCCGTGGGATATGAATGTGTTCTTCCTCCTTCCATCTCACTTTATAGAATTACACTAACTATATGTCGTTAACTATATATCATTGTTGTACTGTTAATCATTTATCTATCTATTTCTATATATATATTAATCATTAAGCTTCACTCTTCATTGTCTTCAAAAGTATAATTCATAGTATTTTTCGTATAATTTTTTAATATCTAAATTTTCAATTTAAAATATTCAACAAATCTAATATAATTTAATTTGATAATAAGTCAACTTAACTTTTTAAAAACACAACATGACAACTAAAAAAGAATCGAGAAAGTAAAATATAATGCAACCTGCACAACAACGTAACTTAATTCAATTGATAATATTTAACCTTTTTCAACTGTCAAAAGTCTATTACATTTTCTTGAGAACAAGTTTGTTTTCTACCTCTATATATACACATCACTAGGCTTCACTCCTTATTATCTTCAAAATTACAATCAAAAAATGATTAACTCTAAGTTTTTTGTTCTCATAGTTCTATATTCTCTCTTTTGCTTTCTTAGTGTCACGAAGTTTGTCTATTCTAAGGTCGACTCAAACGTAAGCGCCACTAAAACTATCGTTTTAAGCACAAATATTTTTAAAATGTTATGAAATTTACTGTTGTTATATTGACTATGTGATGTGTATATATATAATTGTCATTAATAAGCTTTCAAATACATATTTGTAAATGTTCTTTTTCCTTTTTGGATATATATGGTGTAAACTTACATTACAAGCCTTGTTCTTCAACTTTTGAACTTTTTTCTCCTTTATGTGTGTGCATCAATTCATTTCATTTTTCTACTTTTAATGATCATATTGGCTTTAGTTTCATGTCGATGATTAATTACTTTTTCGACATTATGAGATAAATTCAAGATATTTTATTATTGTTTTACTTTATATAGGTTGTAAAGTCTACCGCAAAACCATGGACAGATTCCAAGAACTACATGCTTGGAGAAGAGAAGTCATTTCATCATCTTGTTGCCTATGCTGAAGGACCTAGTGGAGGTATTGGGGTTGAAATGTCAAGAGGAGGTTCTAGTTCTGATTCTGGTTCTGGTTATGATGAAGGTGGACGAGGTGGAGGTGTAGGTGGAGGAGGAAGTGGTGAAGGAAGAGGAAAGGGTTCAGGTTATGGTTATGGTTATGGGGAAGGGTATGGTGAAGGCAGTGGGGGTGGAGGATATGGAGGTGGGGGTGGAGAAGGAAGTCGTGAAGGAACAGGAGATGGTTATGGTTATGGTTCTGGGGAAGGGTATGGTGAAGGAGCTAGTGGTGGGGGATATGGAGGTGGTGAAGGTAGTGGCGAGGGATCAGGAGATGGTTATGGTTCTGGTTCTGGGGAAGGGTATGGTGAAGGAGCTAGTGGTGGGGGATATGGAGGTGGTGAAGGTAGTGGCGAGGGATCAGGAGATGGTGGTTCTGGTTCTGGTAGTGGTTATGGATATGGTTATGGTAATGGAACTAGATCTGGTGCAGGAGGAAGAGGTGGAGGAGAAGGTGAAGGCGAAGGCGAAGGGAAAGGTAAAGATTATGGAGGAGGTGGAATACCGTGAGCACGAGCCAATGCATGGAGTACAAGCCATGCATGCATAATGTACTACTCATGCATGCATGAATCACGATTCATGCATGCTTCTACTTCTTTTTGTTCTTGTCGCAATTTTTCTTTTCTATCTTGTATTATTTCCCCCTCTCTGTAATAAAAAATAAAAGTTAAGGAGATTTATTAAGAGTCGAGATGTAGTGTACTTTATTTCTCCAATTGGCGATATATATAATAAAATTCCTTTTCTTAAGTGAACATAAAATAAAATTTATCTTATACATAATGAACAGATAAAAAATTAGACATATTAAAGTATTAGAGGTGGAGAGTTGCACCAAAATGTGAGCAACTTGCATATTCTTTGAGATAAATACGTTAAATCATCTTAATGTGTTTAATATTTATTGACTCAATTAATTTTAACTTATTATGCATAACCTCCCAAGAATGAAAAAGTCGTACCTTATCAAACATTTTTTCAATTTCAAAATTCAAACAAGTATTTTCCATCCTCATTTATAGTTATTATTTGAATTTAGAGAGTTAATCTTTTAGTTTTCCAATAATTGGGACATGAAACTTTTAAATTTAAAAAATTCTTAAAAAAATACCCACATTAATTATTTTTTTTAAATGTATATTAAAAATACACTTTAATTAAGAGGAAAAGTTTACAAACTTCATATAGCTTATATTATCTTCTTACCATTTGATTGTATTCATTGAACTTCTAGCAAACAATATTGTTCATTAATTCATATTTAATAAAAGTTACATGTTACATTTTAAATTTCTAAATTAATGCAAAATTACCGTTTCGTATTTCTCTATTAATCTAGAGTTACATTTATATACATTACATACAAGTTATAACTATAAATCATATATTGTTATAAATTTTGTCCTATCACTTCCTAGCTCACAAAATAGGTTTTAGCAATTTTAAAAAATATTGCATACAAATATGACTTCCAATTTCATGATTATGATAATTTTTGGAACTTTAATGTACACAAGTTCCGCTCGAAATCTTATCGGGTTGGATTTTTCTGATAATTATAATAATAATAACATTCCACGAGTAAGTACCTCATTTGGAGGTGGAGGTGGTGGTGGAGGACACGTTGGTCCCAATGGCATAGATTTTGGAGTAGGTGTTGGTGTTGGAGGTCAAGTAAGTGTACCCGGTGTTGGGTCAATTGGTGGTGGTGGTGGTGGAGGAATAGGTGGAAGCATAGGTAGAGATGGTTCGGTTTCTATGGGAGGTGGCGGAGGAGGAGGCATTGGTGGTCAAATCGGAAATGTAGGGTTTGGGGGCGGACAAGGTTTTGGTGGTGGGCAAAGTTTTAATGGAATTTACGATTAATTTGTTTGTCTGATTCTTTATTATTGAAAATAATGAATTTTATTTTATACTGAGTAGAGTAGTTCAATTTTTTTTTCTTTATATACATTCAAAAAACACTCTTTTATAACTATTTAATATTTGATATTTCTTATTTCTTTAATTTAAATTCTGCATCACCCCTGCTACAAAATTACTACCAATTTGATCCTGTCTCTAATTTCTATATGGCTGATACGATTTATTAAACCTAAGTACGTACAATAAATAAATAAATACTTTATCATGTTCAATAAAATCATTTAATAAAACGTATTATAATTTGTTGTTCAGATTATTCTGATATAAGAATGCAAAATTATAGATAAAGAAGCATGATCCATCGACTATATATCAATATTACTTATGTTAAATTTAGCTCTAATTATACCCAAATGACATGGTAAAAAGGATACAAACTAATCAAAGTATGTATTAACTAAGGTTTTATCTAATTAAAAGCTCTATATTTAGATCACAAAAAATAACGATTAACCATATATATATAGACACTCTATGTCTATCAAAGATGTCTAGAGCAGTCGAGAACGAGTCAAACGTAGGCTCAGCAAAGCAGCCAACACCTTCAAACAAATTTGAGTTCAGTTTAAACGTAGTCATTCAGCTTTGTGACTTCACTTAGCTTCCAAACGTGGCAAAGGAATACTCATAGCTAACCAATTAATTCATAATTAATCAATTAATTGCATCTTATGTCCTTAATGAATTGGAACATTCAATCTTTTGTATAAGAAATGTTTAGAATATATATTGCAAGAAAATTGCAATATATATTCTAATAACATCTTATTGAATGTTAACTAAGGTAAATAATGTGTTTATTAACAAATGTAATTTATGCAGAAAAGTCAACAATTCGAAAAAAAATTCAAGTAAACAAATGTTTTGTGCTATTAATTACTAATATTCTAAGTGAACCCATAAAGTAATTTTGAAATCCAGGTCATTATTTTCATGTAGTATTTAATTTATTATCTTTTAACAAAATGAATTACTCCGATAAATTTAAAAAATAGAGTTTACTCTAGTTCTCTAATCTGTAGTATTTATGTTATAAATATATAAGAACTTTCTTTCTATTTCCATATTTTATTTTATTTTCGACTCACTTAATGCATTATTTAAGTTGATAGTCTTTAAAAAAATTATTTTTATCTATGCGGGTAATTAGAAGGGAAAATTATATATAATAGCAAACTAATAACCTAAATTAAATGGTATAGCTAGGGTTTGATTTAATTGTGCTCCATCGCAAACATTAGCTAAACTTGCCAGCGTCTCTTTCCCAAAAATCTCGCTCGCCACTCTCCATTCTCGCTCGCCTCTCTCGCTTTATACAAAGAAGTGTATAATTCTGTTTCTGTTTTGTATAAAGCGAGAGAAAATTGTATATACACATGCAAAAATGTATATCTTCGTGTTATACACTTAATTATACAATTTACAAACATTTTACTTCAAATATTGCAGAGAAAAAGGCCAACGAATTATACAATTGCAGCAAAATAGGCCAGCGAATTATACAATTTAGGCCAGCGAATTATACAATTGTATATGTATAGCAAATTATACAGTTTTATGTTTGTTATGGAGCACAATTATGCAAAGTTTGCTATAGCATACAAATATGAATTTTTTGTTTGCTATATGTGAAAGTTGCCCTAATTAGACCTGTTTTTTCAATATGCCGGCAACATGATCTAAAATAAATAATAATATTTGAACAAATAAAGTATATGTTAGTATTTTAATATATATTATGCTGTCAGCGATACTTTAAAATAAAGTAATAAATTTAATAGAATAATTTATAAACCAAATTTCATGATTAAAAACATCATATATATTTTTACTGTAAAAAAAATAAGACAATTGCTGATGACATACAGTCTTCAAATATAAATTGATGGAATAATGTATCAACCATCTGAAAAGATATTTTATTGCAGAATATGAATAATAAAGTATCAATGAATGTATTAAGTATCAGATTTTTTATTACCTTCATTACATCTACAGTTTGTTTCAATCTCTCCTACAGTTTCAGCATCATCATCAACAGTTGAAAAATTCATATGCTTTGGTGAAACAGTCAGATGATCAGAGTTATTCTATTAATATGCGCTATGCAACTAGTGATAATTAAAAAATAAAGTAATTAATTTTATAAATTAAAGTATATACCAAATACATGATTTAGATCATCCTTTATATTTTATGACTAAACAATTAGTTAATCAATGATGTAAAGAATTATCATAAAGTTTTAGATTTGCTCAATACCTTTAGAAAATTAATTAGAGGAAGAGAATGTGCGTTATAATTCAAATTTTATTAAGGTTTTTAAGTGGATAATTTTTCACCCATTAAATTAAATATTTCTGTTACAAATATAATACTTATGTTCAGTTTTGGTTCGTGAATTTAATTATCTTCCGCAATTTATCTCTACTATATAAACTCTTGATATAGTTTATAATTATATATATTTCGAAAAAAATCTCTTTTTATCTCTTTCACACAAATACAAACACCAAGAATGAAAAGTAAGGATTCTTCAAATTTTGTAGTTAAACTAATAATATAATATATGTTTTAGATAATATATTTATTTTAACGTGTTATAAGATAATTTTCATTACTTAATAATCTCATTAAAACAAAAATTTATATATGATGTACATTTATTTTCATGCAGTGTCAACACAATATTCAAAGGCATTTATTTTTCTAATTTTTTTGGGATTATTTGCACGTGACACGTCAGCTAGAATACTCTTAGGAGATGCAGTAGCTACAGTTTTTGAGATCCCAGCTGGTGTAAATGGCTTAGGATTTGGTCAGATTGTCGGAGGAGCTGGCGGCAGTAGTGGCGGCAGCAGCGGTGGCGGTGGTGGAGGAGATGGTGGTTTTAGTGGCGGAAACAGTGACGGATTTGGATTTGGATTTGGTAGTGGCCACGGGTCAGGCTTAGGCGGTAGTGGCGGCGGTGGTGGTGGCAGTGGCGGTGGCGGGGAGAATGGTGGTAGTGGTTTTGGGTTTGGGATCGGTGAAGGTTTCGGCGGTGGTGGCATTTGATCTAATAAAGTAGTAGTGGCATATTTTATTTATTTTAATTTAATTTTTAATAAGCTTTTAGTATATATATGAGAATATATTTAATTTCACTATTTAAAGTTAGTAATTGTTCCATTTAAATAAATAACTAGTGAATAATATAGTCACGTTAATGCTTATAGACTCATGACATTTTTGTTTAATTGATCACTATTTTTTTCCATACAATAAATAAGAATTTTAAGAGTTATATAAGAGAATCGCATTCACCTAGTTGATCGCGACTAAATTATATGATTTTCTTACACATTTATAATATTATTGGGTAATTAAGTGCAATTGACATTACTTTGATGTAAAAAAGTCGTATATATTTCTCTTAAAATTCATGATTAAGGAAAACTATTTTAAAATCAGTAATCAATTCTAATAAATATACTTTGGATATATAATTCAAAAATATTTCGAATAAAATATACATAAGAATAAAAATATAACTTTTTTTTTCTTATAATCAAATTATCGATTAATTAGCTCGTTAAAAAAAAAGTCAAAACTGAAACGTCCATAATCAATTATTCAATAATTATAAAACTCTAAATATTTATAAAACCAATAAATTAACAACTCAAATCATTAGCTGTTAATATCTCTATTATCGATTCGAATTATTAATTTGACTCGAAATTATTCACACGATCCTAGTGAAAAGTGAAAACAATTGAATTCTAACATACACAGTAACGCAGAGTATATAAAATCATTTTGTCTGTTGTATTTATATGATATGTCAAAATCAAAATTAAATGTTTACAGAGTCAACTTCTTCAAAGTTGTGATGATAACACTAAATTAAATTTTTACGTGCATGGCTTACAAATGTCAAAATAAAATTCATGCATTAATTTACGTATAATGAATGAAAATTCAGTGTACCGTTGAGTTTTTTGGATTTTATAGCCTATAAAATCCTCTTTACAATCCTTCAAATTCCTCACACAAAACTTTTATTATATTATTATAGTTATAACTCTTTTTGGATAATATTAAATGTTTAAATTGCTAGAAAAAAATATGTGGGCTAGAATTTTATTACTTCTTTTTGTGTTTTCACTTGGAGCTTTTCTTGTTTGTGGTAGAAATTTACCAAGTGAAAATGAGTCTCTTGTTGAAAAAAAATATGGAGTTACTGATTATCAAGGTGGATTAGATGATAATATTGGAGCTGGTGGATTTGCTGCTGGTAATGGAATTTAGAAAACTTCATGTATAAAAGTACTTTGAAATTTTTAATATTTTACTAAAATCGAAGATAAATTTAAATTTTTTATAAATTAAGAGATATGATGGTTACAATCTCCAAAGAACCTTCTTTTAACTCGATATATTATTCGTGAGAGTTAGTGCAACACGTAATATTTAATAAGAAAGGTTAAAAATTTATTTTTTTGTCCATAAAAAAGATTAGAGATCGATTTTTTTTTATCTAACACTTGTTTAGTTGAGTTTGTTGCATCTAACTAGCCTGTAAATTACATTTTGTTAAGTTAGTGCTAATGATAGTATCTATAATTTGAAAGGTTAGAGATAGATTCTCCTTATTAACACTTTTTTTATTTGAGTTTGTTGCTTCGTATTAATATCGTTTCCGTTTCATTTTATATGTCACATTTCGGATTTCAAGAATTAAATAAGTCTATTTTTTATCGTATATTTTTCATAAATCTTTTCAATATTTTAAATTATCAATTATTATAATTTTTAATATTTTTTTACTTAATTTACAAATACATAAGTTTCATTTCAAGAAAATTAAAAATTTCATGCGCAAATTTTTGACTGACAAAATATAAAATATGTTATATAAATTGAGACAAAAAAAATATAATTTAGTTGCTACATTATTTTGTTAGCAATTAGACGATTTAACGATAAAATTCATAGCTAATTTCATAATTCGTTGTGTTTATGAAACAGGTGAGCCAACTGGGCCATCTGGACCAACTGGGCCGGGTCTAGGAGGATCCATTAGTGGTGGCGTTAGCGCCGGAGTCGGAGGAAGGTTGGGTATCGGAGCTGGGCCCGTAAGTGGAGGAGCTGAAGGTAGAGTTGGCGTTGGGATCGGTGCCGGAGCCGGTGCAGGTGTCGGCGCTGGTCCTGGCGGCATGGGCGGTGGCGCTGCCGGCAGTCCACCTGGCATTGGCATAGGTGGCAGTGGCGGAGTTAGTGGTGGAGTAAGCGGCAGCGGAAGAATTGGAGCTGGTGTAGGCGGCAGTGGCGGTGTTGGCGATAATGTTGGCGGTGGAGCAGGCGATCATGGCAGTGGAACTGGCGGAGGGTTTGGCGGCCCTGGTAGTGTAAGCGGCGGAGGGTTTGGCGGCCCTGGTAGTGGAAGCGGCGGAGGGTACGGCAGTGGATATGGCGGCGGATGGCCGTGAAATTAATGTAAACGTAAGTAGCTGTGGCGTTAGCCATTGCATTAATATTTTAGTAGTTGCATTTTAATTTCATGTTATGTGCTTTGTGAAATGTTGTGAGTAGGATGTAATGATATAATGTAATGTTGGTTAATAAATTAGTGTAATTTAATTTAGTGTTTGGTATCAGAGCTTGATTAAATTAGAATTTGTATCGAAAAATTTCATATTAGAAGAAAAGTGATTCTTAATAAAGACGGCTCAAACCTGAAATCTCTTGATGAAGGATGTTATTCCATCACAACGATTAATTTCAGAGTTTATCTCCTTATTATATCAAGATAGTATTTTTTTAAAGATAAAAACTTAATTTAAAATAAATAGATCATAATTTTGAGAGTAAATTAAATGAAGTAAATAATTGATATATTAAAATAATAATATAGATATTGAAAATACAAAAAATATTATAAATTGAATTTTTATATTAATATAACAAAAAACACATATAAAATATCAATTAAAATGTATACTCTATAATTTAACTCAAAAAAAAAAAATTTCTAGGGAATTGTAAGTTTATTGAGCTTTTAAGGATGTAAAAACAAATATTCTTAGTAGGATGTTTTTCCTCATTTAATGAATTTTATGGACCATGAAGTTTGAAAAGGTTTGAGCCAATAAATCTCGAAGATGAGAAGATTATACAAGCATTAAAAAAAAAAAAAACTCAACTTAAAACGTTGTATTGAAAATTGTTTAAGATATTTTATTTATTTTAATTTTATATTCAGTTTAAATTTCATAAGTCAAATAGTTTAATGTTTATTATATTTTCATTCTTTAATTCTATTTCCTTTGAGAAAAGGTCTCTCTCTTTACAACCACATTATCAATGTATTATATTATATGATTGTAGAATAATTAGGACCGATAATTAGTGGTGAACAAGTAATCACATTAAAAGCAAAGATGTAATTAACGAAATTGTAATTAAAGAATATGATTAGTATGACCTTACTTACATTATTGATTTCATATTTACATAAATAAAGAAGATCGCGAAAAAATTGACAACAAACATAAAATTTATTAATTAATAATGTTTTTTTGCAATAAAATTAACATTATACATAATATTTTCTTGTGATGTTGTATATTTGTATTGTTATTGTTAATTTAGCTTGAAAAAAAATAATAAGTTATTATTTTCTTTTTTTTTATTGTCAATTTTTTAAATTTAACTTACCATATGATATGTTTAAGATGGTAAAATTTAGAAATTTTATTACTTTATTAAATTTCATATTAAGTTATAAAATTGAACAAATAAATTAAAATGAAAATAGTATCATAATTGTATAGTATAAAATACGATGAAATTGATGAAATAAACTTATGATTTACAATAATTCCTATTATGGACCCAACTTAATGATTGAGACATTATTTTATATTTTATACTTCCACCTTTGTTTTAAAATATATGTAAATAATTTGATCGAACATTAAAAAAGGTTATTAAACATAAGGTGAAGGTCATATGCGTGACTTTTATGAAATGAGGAGCCACGATTAAAAAATTATAATAGGATGACAATTATTCTAATCTTTAATTTGTATATTTTATAAATTGTCGTAAATAAATATAATTTTATTATATGATAAATTTAGTATATATATATATATATATATATATATATATATATATATATATATATATATATATAAACTGAAATTCCTAATTTAGCCCAACATGAATACCCCTCTTTCACAATTTACCTATATAATTTTTTTAGTCAGTCTTTAAAAAAAAAATATTAATTATTCTTGATAAGATAATTTATAATCCCATGAATAGTTAAAAAAATATTTTACACTATAAAATAGCTATTTCAATACTTTTACTTATTCACTATTTTAAAAAAATAATTTTCATTTCTATTTTGTCAATTTAAAAACATCAAGAAAAGATAATTTATTTTTCCTAATTCACCTCAATATTAATTACTACTTTTTTTTCTCAAATCATTTTCAAGACTTAAAACTATTCATCAATTAATATGAGTCTTATAATAAAATATTCAAATTAATCATTATTTTTGTTAAAAGATGTCAGATGTGTATATAATTTCAAACGGGCAAATAAAAATGAACATGAGGAATATTTTTAATAAAAAAAGTGTTGAAGAAAACCCATAAACTCGCTGCTAATTATTAATTACATCCCAAACTATTAACGATATTAAAATCAACCCTTAACTTGACTAACTAAAGAGTTAAATAAATACATTTTGATCTCTCAACATGAGCGAAATACATCTCTAAATCCTCGTCAAGTTTAAAATATTTTCAACACTTATCTCATTTTTTTATTAACAAACTCATGCTCGTACAACAGTTGGAGATCACTTGTTATGTCCAGTAAAAAAAGTGTTTTTTGGACTGTGAATCGATCACACATTAAATTAATAATTTACGTCAAATTTATGAGTGTTTTTTAGTATTTTCTCAATTTAAAAATATCATACAAAATAAAAACGATGGAAGTATGACGTACCAAAACTTTATTTTACTACATTTATTCCAAATCGAAATTAATTAATTAATTTATATACAGTCAATGTATGTAATATATAACGTAAAAATACGAATAGTTTAAAACACGAGTCAATTAGTAAATAATTTGGCTTATT